TTTGGCACCCGCGGAAGAAAATAACCTGTTCTTCCTTTAGGGGGGATATTCCGTTTGAATTTCTCCCACCTCTCGGTGCAGACGGATTTTGTGGGACACCCCGAAATTGGGCTGGTGACCCTCGCCTGCCCGATGCTAAAATTCCCCTTTCCTCCAGCACCGGCACATTGATGGGATTTCGACAAGGTTTTGCTTTAAACTTGGGGGAAAAAAACCAAAACAAAATAAAACAAAACACAAAAAGGTTCTATAAGGCTGGAAATGAGGCTGAACCCCCTGGAATTCCCTCGTCCTCCTCGTTTGGGGGAGACCCCTGGCCCGGCTTGGCCCAGCCGGACTTTTGGCATCGGGAGTCGCCGGGGGCTGGAGGTGGTTCCCGATGACAAAAAGCTCATCAGCTAATCGAAAGGTTTCTCGGCACAATTTTATCTCTATCCTGACGGGATTTGGTGCTAGAAAAGCTGGAAGTGGTTATGAATTTTGTTTGGATGCCAACGCTATGCCAAGTTGTTAGGAGAGGGGACATCCCATCCCAAGGGCTCTGTTTGCTTTGGGAGCATCCCCAGCCCCGGGCCTCCAGGGAAGAAACCTCGTCCAGGAAAGCCTGAACGTCTCAGGAACGGATTTACACCTGGATTTACACCTGGATTTACACCTGGTTTTACATCTGGATTTACAGTTCGAGCCGCCTTTAAGGGCGAATTTGTGGGATGTGGGAGCATCACTGGCCGGGTCCCAGCCCTGCTCCGGCTCAACCCCGCTGTTTCTCTTGGTACCAAATCCTTCGGGGCTGAATCCCAGCCAGCCCAAAAGCGTCCCCCCCGGGAAAGTATTCTAGCAATCGGTCCCTGAGCGGGGATAAAAATACCCGGAGATATTTGGAAGATCTCTGTGGGAAGCGATTGTGTCTGAGTGGTAGCGCTCGGAGCTTATTATCGCTGGAACCGATTTGTATTGCAGGGACCTCGTCCTGCCAGAAAAACTGCACAGCAAAAAAATCCCGAGCTGAAGAAGGCTGTAAATTCCTGTGCTGCAATATTTCACTGAAGGACGTCATGGAAAATCTGGGCTTGAAGGGCGGGGGGAGACTCGGGACGGGCAGAGGGGGGAAAAGGGAGACAAAAAGGGGGAGATTAAGATTTTTTTAAATTCTTTTTTTCCTTTCTGACCAAAGCCTGAACTTCTGCCTGACGCACGGCGGTGACAGCCAGCCCGCACCTCCCCGCAGCCGCCTCAGACACTCGGGCAGCTCTGCTGCGCTCCCAATTTCGGCTTCTGCTCTCCCAAAATCTTCTCCAGGTCCCGTTCGGCCCTGGAGAAGGAGTTTTGCTTCCAGGAATGCGAGAGGCCAAGGCTGGGACTGGGAAAGGTCCCACGCGTGGGGCAAAGCACTGCCGTGCGATGGACCCGCAAAAAAATTCGGGGTGTGCGTGCGTCTCCCTAAAAACATCTCTCCCTCGGTTCTTCCAGCTCTCCTCGCTCCATCCTCGACCCCCTCGCTCGAACGCACCCCCTCGCCTTTAAATAAACATTTAGGGATCAATTCGCCGCGGATTTGGGGCCAGCGGCCACGGGGATGGCAGCGACTGAAAAAAAAAAAAAAAAAAAAAAACCAACAAAAAAAAAAACCCAAAGCAGCCGAGGAGAAAAGGCTGGTGCTGGGGAACAGGGGGGGTCCCGCGGGTGGTGTTAATGCAAAGCAGGACAGCGGGGAGGGGGACACGGGGCGGTCACTCCCCTCGCCCTGGGTGGTCCGGGCTCGCAGGAACACCCCGGCCCCTGTCGGAGCAGCACCCAGCCCGCCTCTCACAATCCCACCTAGATCCATTTCCATCCTCGGGTTACACCGGCCTGCTCGCCGAGTTGACTTCACTTAAGCAATTAGCTAGGAAAAATACCTTGGGCGCAGGAAAAGGAAGAAAGCTCGGATTTGTCTATTTTTACACAAAACACGGCCCGAGTTTCGGGCAGGGGGAGGGAAGGAGCCGGGTGGGAAGCGCAGCGGGGCCGGGGGTGTTGGCGGGGTCGGGAAAGCGGCTCCGAGCGGGATGGGAGAGGCTAATTACGCCAGATGATAATTTAATTTTTGTCGTTTCTTCTTTTTCTCCCTTCTTTTCATCTCTGCCCGTCAGGGGCTGGGGAGGACCCGATTAATCCACCCAAATCACGAGCAGACAACACCAAAAGCGAGCCCCGTTTTCCCCCACACCATCCTCCTCCTCCTCCTGGCCGTACACGAGGCTTTTCCTCCCCAAAACTTTCCTTTCCCCAACTCGTGCGCTCGGATTGAAACCCCCCAACATTTCTGCAATTCCCACGACGAGGCCTATAGCACCCGGAGCGAGATATTCCCATTTTTAACTTTTGTTAGCTGTAATAAATGCATCGGAAACCAAATCTTCCCCTTCCTAAAAGATATTGCGAGAGGGGGAAAGGGCACTCGTGAAGGAACTGATTTTCTTTGAGGGGAAGCAATTTGATTTCCACGGAGAGTTTCGGGTTTTTTAACTCGGAGATGTTTTATTTCCTCGTGGAAACGCTGCCGGTGGCAAACGATTTGAACGGGATTTTTCCACGGGCGCTTTGTGCTGTATTTAGAGCTCCATCCTCGGATGTTTTGGGGGCAGATCGGGGAGATTCGGTGGCAGAGTGATAGAAAGCAAAGAAATCCACCCTTTTCGCGAGCCGGGGGGGAACATTCGATGCGAAGCAAAGCTCAGGGTCACAGATGCGCTCCCACAGCAAAGATAAAAAGAAATGCAGCGAGAAGCAGAGGGAATATTCTGCACCAGTCTCCTCGGGGATGTAAGCCCCGGGAAAAGTAATTGCTTCCCAAAAAAAGCGATTTTTGGGGTGCTTTCCCCGCTTCCCGAGCAGCCACCCTGCTCCACGCGCAGAGGGAGCAGCCGGAGCTGCTCATTCTCCTCCTCCTCCGGGGAAAAGCTCCAGAAATAACTGTCCCAACCTCCTCCCACCTCCTCCCTGGCTACCTGCCGCCGGCCTGGGGCTTGCCCAGAGCTCTCCCGTGCCTGTCCCGGGCCCGTTTGCACCGGGAACGGGAGGGCCGGTGCTGTCTGCAGGATGATTTTTTTTTTTTTTTTTCTCGAAAAGGTGGGGAAAAGAGAGGAGGGGGAAGGATAGAAAGGTAAAATTAAAAAAAAAAAAAAAAGAAAAAGAAAAAAGAAAACGCTGATGTGAAACCCCTCTTGGTCGCACCACAGATGTGCCAGGCGCCCCGGAGGCTGCTCACAACTGCTCGCCAATAACGCGGAGGGAGTTTGGAAACCCGATCGGTGCCTATCTTTCCTTTAAAAGGTATTAAATTATCATTAAAACCTTGAAAAGCGAAGCTGGAAAACGAAGGGCTTGGCGAGGGGGGTGTCCCCTCTCTCTCTTTGCTCAGGGATGCGCCCACAGCCCTGCGGCGAGGCCTGCAACGGGGGTGCGGGGGGACGGGCTGGGGTTTTTTTTCCCCCCTTTTCCTTTCTCTTTTCTTTTCCCCAGTGTCGGGAGGGACCAGGCGGCAGCAGCCGGCACACCGGCAGCCCTGAGAGCCCAGGTTCCTTGCCCCGTGCCCACCCACGATGCCGCCCCCCGCACCGTGCAGCTCTCCACGCGCGGGCCGCGACAAGGTGACAAAGGTTTCAAGCGACTTACCTCGAGTGACAGCTCTGCCGGCGGCACGGTGCTCAAAGAGGCGGATTTTGGGGGGAGAGGTGAATGAGAAAAGGGGGGTCTCTACCCCTCTGGCTGTTTATTCTCCTGCCCCCCACCCGCCGCGTGTGCCCGTGGCACCGCCGGAGCTGAGCGTCAAACTCCGGGCACGGAGCCGCCAAACTCCAGCACAGATTTATACACACCCCCCTGAAAAAAAACCCCAAACAACCCAAAACAAACGAACCCACCCTCATCCCTAAAGCAGCCTCGGAGCAGCCGAGGGGTCCGAAGCCCGTTCCGGGCCCGGGAGCGGCGGCGGAGGCAGAAAAGGGCATTTCGCGAGGCAGCGGGAGTTTTCGCCGATTTCTTTTTATTAAAGCACCCCCGAGCCCGTGTTTACATTGCGCAGTATAAACATCCTGCCCGGGCCCGCCGAGCTTAAAAAGAGCGCACGAAGAGGGGGTTTGAAGTGGGTGAAGCTGCGCGCAGCGCGGAGCCCGAGGCCGGGCAGCGCCGCCCTGCCCCACGCCACTCGCGGAACCTCCGCGCTGCCCGCAGCCCTTCCACAGCCCGTGGGGCCCATCCCGTGCTTTGCAGGGCTGGGAAGGAGGCAGGGAGGGGATGGAGGAGCCGCACGGCGCGTCGCGGTCACGCGTGGCATAAATCACACAGGCACGCCGAGATACACGCGCGGTGCCCTCCGCGGCGGGCAGGGGCGCGGCGTGCAGCCCCCCCGGGTGGGGCAGGGCGGCGTGGAAAGGGCTCTTTAAAAGCTGCCCACCAGCGGGGAGCGGCGGCGGAGGGGGCCGGCACGGGGCGGCGGAGGGGCCGCCCGGGAGGGCGGGGGGGGCGGGGGCGGAGGGGGCCGGCACGGGGGGGCGGAGGGGCCGCCCGGGAGGGCGGGGGGGAGCGGCTCGGGGCGGGGATCTCCGCTCCGCGCTTACGTCTGTCAAGGAGCGGCAGACGCCGCTGCGAGAGATAAAGTAGAAGGCGAGCGGCGGGGCCGGGGGCAGACTCGACAGCCACCGCGATGGGAAGCAGCTCCCCGCAGCAGCGGCAGCGCCAGCCCAGCTAAAGCCTCCGAAGGGGACGGCGGCGGCTCCGGGAGCCCGGCGCGGCGAGGGGCAGCGGGGCAGGCGCGGGCGGCGGCCCCGGCTCCTCTCTCGCAGCAGCCGAGCTCAGCCCGCTTCCACCCGCCCCCCCATCCCGCCTCCCTGCGGGCCCCCCCGACCCTCNGGGGGGGTGGGGGGTGTCGTCGCTTCCATTTGTTTATCCACGGAGGGGTGAAGTCTCCCGGTGGAAAGCGAAGCCGCCGGGGGGCCGGGAGGACGCCGGAGGGAGGGCGGTGGGTGAGTGGCGGCGAGCCCCCAGCAGCGCGGCCTTTTGCGGGGGCGCTGGGGGGGCGGCGGAGGAGGGCCGGGGCTGGGGCTGGCCGCCGCGGAGCTGGCCGTAGATGACTGCAGAAGCGCAGCAGGCTCTGTCCTCTCAGCCCCCTCCTCCTCCGGTGCAGAGCAGCTACGGCCCCATGTCCTCCCTGGCTGAGAAGCAGCCGCAGAGCTCGGCCATGGACGCCGCCTCCGCGGGGACCGGCGGCGCGGCCGGCAGCGCCCCGGGCAGCGGCGGGGCCCCGGGCAGCGGCGGCCCCAAGGCGAAGAAGACGAACGCTGGGATCCGGCGGCCGGAGAAGCCGCCTTATTCCTACATCGCCCTCATCGTCATGGCTATCCAGAGCTCTCCCTCCAAACGCCTGACCCTCAGCGAGATCTACCAGTTCTTGCAGAGCCGCTTCCCTTTCTTCCGAGGCTCCTACCAGGGCTGGAAAAACTCGGTGCGCCACAACCTCTCGCTCAACGAGTGCTTCATCAAGCTGCCCAAGGGCCTGGGCCGCCCGGGCAAGGGTCACTACTGGACCATCGACCCGGCCAGCGAGTTCATGTTCGAGGAGGGCTCGTTCCGCCGCCGGCCCCGCGGGTTCCGGAGGAAATGCCAGGCGCTGAAGCCCATGTACAGCATGATGAACGGGCTCAGCTTCAACCACCTCCCCGACAGCTACGGCTTCCAGGGCTCGGCCGGCGGGCTCTCCTGCCCTCCCAACAGCCTGTCCCTCGAAGGGGGCTTGGGCATGATGAACGGGCATTTGTCCAGCAACGTGGAGGGGATGGGCCTGGCGGGACACTCCGTGCCCCACCTGCCCGCCAACGGTGGGCACACCTACATGGGCGGCTGCACCGGCTCCTCGGCCGGGGAATACCCGCACCACGACAGCTCCGTGCCCGCATCCCCGTTGCTCCCCGCCGGCGGCGTGATGGAGCCGCACTCGGTTTACTCCAGCTCGGCCTCGGCGTGGGCGCCCAGCGCCTCGGCGGCCCTCAACACCGGCGCGTCCTACATCAAGCAGCAGCCCCTGTCGCCCTGCAACCCCACGGCAAACCCGCTCTCCTCCAGCCTCTCCACGCACTCCCTGGACCAGCCCTACCTGCACCAGAACAGCCACAACACCGCCGACCTCCAAGGTAAGGCGCGGCCACGCGTGGGGCGCATCCGCGACCGCGGTCACGGGGGCCGGCCGGGGTTGCGGGCCCCGCCTGGATCCCGGCGGTGCCGCTGCCGGCTGGGATCCCGCTTCTGGGCGGTTTTAATGCTGGTTCCGAGCGGAAGATGCTTTGCCCTCGCTTCCTTTCCCGGGGGCAGCCGGGCGCCCGTCGGGGCTCTGCCGGGCCGGGGCTCCGCTCCTCCCGGCGGCTGCTTCACGTCCAGGGCCGCCCCAGGCCTAAGGCCGGTGGGCTGAGGCAGCGGGGAGCTGCGGGAAGGAGAGGCCGGGAATGCTCCCTTGGGCTCTCCCACCTCCATGGGCACTTGGAGGGAAAAGGCAGGAATTCCCCATGGGGTGGTCCGCCACCCGCGCCATCCCACCCCGTGCCATCCCAGCCCCTTCCCCGCCGTCAGCTGTGTTTTTCACACGTCTCAAGGCCGTGTTTTCCAGGCCCATCACCTTCCTCCATCCGCCGCCCAAGCCGAAGCCGGCGGGCCGGACCCCCCAAATCCTCCCGCGCCCCAAAACCCCTGCTCGGTCTCGTCCCTGGAGCTGTCGGGGCTGCATTTGCCCTGGGTCTTGGAGTGGAGATGGTGTTTGGCCGGGAAGAGGCCTCGGAAGGGACGAGGCCAGGGCTGGGTTTCGCTTTGCTGCCCAAATTCCCCTCGGGGTGCTGTGGCTGTGGGGAGCCCCGGAGCCATGGGCGGTGATGGGGCAGATTTGGGGGTCCCTGCCCATCACCCCGGGCCTTCTGGGGAGCGGGACGGGCTTGACAGGAACGGCTTTGAAAGCAGAGAACAAATGGGCCAAGACCACAAAGCGAAACGGGGGAAAAGCATCAGCCGGGCCGGGCCGGAGCTGCAGAACCCGGGCAGAGCCCAGTCCCGGCCGGGCTGGGGCAGTGCCCACCACGGGCACCCTCCTGCCCCGGGGCACTTCCCGGAGCTCAGCGCATCCAGGGCCTCTGGAACACGGAGCTGGGAATCCGCCCCGAGGAGCCGCCGGGCCCGTGCGCGGCCTTCACCGAAACGCTCTGATTATCACCCAAAGGAGCGGCGGGAGCGCTCCGGGGCAGGGCACCCCCTGCCCAGCGCACCCCCAATTCCCGGGGCGCTTTTCCATGCCGAGGTGGCGGCAGGAGCGGTGGGAATAGCCCCGCTCCCGGCGGCTCTCGGCCCCGGCCTCCTCCCGGAGCTGCCCGGCGGATTTTCCGCACGGGCCGAGGTGATGGGAAAATCAGCCGGGGCGAAAGAAAATAAATCGAAGTGTTGAAACAAAACAAAACAAAACAAAACAAACCCCTAAACCCAACGCAAATCCCTTGTCCTCGCAGTGCCCTCGGGCCGGGCAGGGACTCTCTGCCGCACCTGCCCGCACCCGCGATGTACCAAAACAGCCCAAAATCCGCGCTCGGAGCGGGCCGTGCGGGTTGGGTCCTTGGGATTTTTTTTTTTTTCAACCCCATGCCGAGTTTTTCACCCTTCCCTGCTGAACCTCTTGGCGCTGCTGACCGTGTCTCCCCCGTCCCGCAGGCATCCCGCGGTATCACTCGCAGTCTCCGAGCATGTGCGACAGAAAGGAATTCGTCTTCTCTTTCAACGCCATGGCCTCCTCCTCCATGCATTCAGCGGGCAGCGGCTCCTATTACCACCAACAAGTGACATACCAGGACATCAAGCCGTGCGTTATGTGAGCCGGGCCGGACAAACCCCGCTCCTGGGGCTGAGCATCCCCCAGGACGCTCGGGGTGCCAGGGGGGTGTCCCATGTCCCACGTCCCATGTCCCACGTCCCAGCCTGGCTTCGGGCAGCAGGGACGGACCGGAGCTCCGGGAAGCGGCGGGAGAAGAGCGGAGTGCGGCCCCGGGAGCGAGCTGAGCGTCGAGCCCGCAGCGTCTGTGCCTTCTTCTGCTCGGGGAGGGATGGAGGAGAAAGCAAAAGCAGCCCCCCCGGCCGTGCCGAAAGCCCCGGCTGCGAGTTTGGGGTGAGGCTTTGCCAAATGAGGTTTTGATGCTTCTTTCAAAAAAAAAAAAAAAAAGAAATTGCAAACTCAGTTTGGGAGTTGGCGGTGAGCGATGCCACCGGCTCGGGCTGCGGGGGCTGGAAAAGACCCCGAACTCAAATCCCCTCGGTGCCATCTCACTTCGAGCCCGGAAAAATACTTAAAAAAATTTATTTTCCTATTTTCCTTCCTTTTTTTTTTTTTTTTTTTTTTTTTTTTTTTTTTTCTTGCCGGCCAACACCCAGCGGGCAAAAAAATCTCTCAGAGGGATTTTTTGGAACTATGAATTTTGGTTTTTTTTTGCCTGCATAAAGACTGCAGGATCAGACCCTATGCAGAGAGAACAAGGCACTTTGGAAAGAGACAGCCATGCTCATCCTGTTATTTATTCTACAATTCTTCTTTTTTTGTTGTTGTTGTTGCTAATAATCGAGACACGAATAGTCTCAGTTGATCAGTATTAAATCGGGGAATCTCTGTTGGCAATATTTGCCATATAGATTTGAGTTTTTTTAGTTAACCTTTGTAAATTTGCAAGCGACCGTGGTCTCTGTGTAAAGACAATCCTCCATATGTTTTTATAGAAATATATATATAATGAAGGATTATTCCCCTCCCTCCCCTCTCTATTTTTTTTTCCACCTTGACGTTGTACAGTTCGGTGACACCTATTTTAATTCTTTCTGCACTGTATAAAATTGTAATTATGTGGGTTTGTTTTGTTTTTGATTTTTTCGCCTTTTTTTTTTTTTTTTTTGTGTACGTTTTGTCCCCAAAGAAAAAAAAAAATCCCGAAATAAAACCTGTATGTTATTTGTACATGGGCTTCACGATTGTATGAGCAGCAAATAAACGAGCATGCGGTGTAATTAAGCTTAATTAATGAGGAGTCCAGCCCTGCAAACCCTCGGGCAGTAATTCCCCATCCCGGCACAGACTCAAAATCGACTTTTTAGGGTTTTTTCACCTTCGAGGAGTCCTGGTTGCCAATTTCCCTGCTGGGAAATATTTCAGTTGAGGATATTGAAATGCAGAAGGAGGAAAAGCGGCGGTGCTTTTTATTTTTAGCTTTTTATTCTTAGGCTTATTCCATTTTTTTCCAAGGCGAAAGGCTCTCTTTGACAGCTCTTTGCCTCTCCCTCGAATTCCAGGCGTGAGGCTGCCGGGATGGAGCCCGCGGCTCCTTTTTCCTCCTCCTCCATCCCGGGAATTTTCCGGCTTCTTTTTTCCTCCTTTTCCATCCCGGGAATTTTCCGACCCGGCAGGAAACTTCCCGCGGGCTTTTCCCCGCGTGAAAAAGAAATAAAAATTCATAAAATTGAGTGAAATTTACCCAATTAACCCAAATTATTAGGAATTAATAAACAGGAATAAAAATTAAGCAGATCAACATCGTGCACGGGGCAGTGATAAATCTGCATTTAAATATCGGTATTTTCCTGCAAAGTTTGGGGGGATTGCGGTTAATTCAGGATCCTCCAGTATCCAGAATTTTTTGCTTTAATTCGTGGACCAATCTGTCTCTATTAATATTCAATATCAACGCCCATAAAAAAGAGATGCAGGCAAATTAATCTGATTACGTGGTTGTGGATTTCTGCCTTTATAGAGGGAAATTTAATCACTGCACACTAATTAGCCCAGCTCTGGAATCAGCTTAATTAAAGTCCAAGTTCGCTGTAACAAGGGAGAAATTTATAATATTATTGTAATTAAGGCAAGGCTTTATTAGAGTTGGGGAGGCCTTTTCAGAGTGAGTTTTTTATTGTTGTTTTGTGGGGGTTTTTTTGAGGAGCGTTGTGGCATTTTGGGTGGTTTTTTTATTAAATTTTGTTAATGTTTTTGGGGTTTTTTAAATCTCTGTTTAGATCTCTTTAAGCCAGCAGCAATCTGCCTTCAGCATTATTGGTTTTCCCTATTTTTATGCTTTTCTGGGCTGATCTTTCCCACATCCCTGCCCATCCCTCTTGGAGGTGAACACGTTGTCTCCATCCTTTTAGGTCCGAGCTGAAACCAGAGGGTTTTTTACTCCTGAAGCAAATATCTGTACTAGGTGTGGCTTCAACAATGGTCCGGGGTTGGGAGCTCAGCTCCTTGAAATGCCACTGTCATTCCCAAGGTTTGTTTCCATCCCTCTGGGTTGATTTTGGGTCCTCCTTGGCATTTGGTGCTGCTGGAGGCTGGGAAGGGCAGGCAGCACCTTGTGAGGCTCGGGCCCAGCTCGCAGGGGTTCGTATCTGCTCCCCACCAAAGCCTGATGTGATTCATTCCTCTCCCTCCCGTGGCTTTCCAAACCTGGAAAAACAGAGCAGCTGCATTCCGGGGACGCCACATATTCCTCAAGCCAGTGAGCGCAGTCTAAACAGGAGCTCTCCATCCCAGAGCCCTCCAGCAGCCAGGAGAGAACAAAACCCCCCGGCTCCTGCAACCCCCCAGATCCTTCAAAATCCACCCCCCCAGCTCCTGCCACCCCCAGATCCTTCAAAATCCCCCCCCAGCTCCTGCAACCCCCAGATCCTGCAACGCCCCATCTCCTTCAAAACCCCCTCTAGATCCTGCAAAACTCAGCTCCTGCCACCCCCAGCTCCTGCAAACCCCCCCAGCTCCTTCAAAACCCCCCCTAGATCCTGCAAAATCCCCAGTTCCTGCCACCCCCAGCTCCTGCAAAACCCCCCCAGGCTCCTGCACGCCCCCCCAGCTCTCCATCTGCAAAAGCCCAACGGGGTTTTTCCCAGTATTTTCAGTCCCAGGGGATGGCAAACCCCAAGCTGCTTGTGCTTTTCCAGGAGTGATGAGCTCTGGGAGGAGGTGAGGAGGGACAAACTTGCCCAGAAATGCTGTGGGAGCCCTGGGAGGGCAGCAAGGCAGGGTTTGCTCAGAAATGTGGGATTTGCTGCTGGAAAGGCTCAGATCTGGCTGTGGCTCAGCTCAGCACCAGTGAGCTGCTCCCTGCTTCTCATCCCTCCCATCCCAATCCTTAGCAAATACAACCCATTGTCCTGGGGTGTTTTGGCATTTCTGCTTCAGGAAACAGCTTCTCATTGCTGATGACCTGTGCAGCCCAGGAACTTTCTACAGGGATGGAATTGCCCAGGAATTTTTTACCGGGATGGAATTGCCCAGGAATTTTCTACAGGGATGAAATTCTGGAGCGTGATGACAAACAGGGCCTGGTGTCTCCAGGCAGTTTGTCCTCTCTGGATCAGGGGACATTGGTGTCCCCAGGCCTTGTGCAGGGATTCTGGTGGCAAAGCACTTCCCTCTGCTCCTCCCAGGATGTTTCCCCCCATCCCTACGATGCCCCCATGGAGCTGGAGCTGTGTCTGCCACTGTCACCTGCTCGTGGGCTCGTGTCCCCAGGGGTGTTTGTGAGCCCCACGTGGGGACAGAGCTGGAGGGAGCACGGGAATAGTGCAGGGATCCCAAGGAAGGCCTGGAAGAGGGGATGTGGGGCTGGATCCCCTGCTGGGGAGACATCGGGATGATCTGCAGCATTTTTGGGAGGCAGCATCGGGGTGGGGATGGTGGAGAGGGGTCTCTCAGGGATCCCGGGTGTTTGGAGGATCCTGGGGGGTTTGGAGGATCCTGGGGGGTTTGGAGGATCCTGGGGGGTTTGGAGGATCCTGGGGGGTTTGGAGGATCCTGGGGGGTTTGGAGGATCCTGGGGGGTTTGGAGGATCCTGGGGGGTTTGGAGGGATGCTGGGGGTTCTGGAAGGTCCCAGGGACATCGGATGTTCCCAAAGGACTGGAGCATCCTGTGGGAGAATTGGAGGGATCCCAGGGGACTGAGGGATCCTGGGGGCTTTTGGACAATCCCGAGTGGGTTTGAGGGATCCTTGGGGGTTTGGAAGATCCCCATGGGATTTGGATAATCCTGGACGAGAGGTCTCTCAGGGATCCCAGGTGTTTGGAGGATCCTAGGGGGTTTGGAGGATCCCGGGGGGTTTGGAGGATCCTGGGGGGTTTGGAGGGATGCTGGGGGTTCTGGAAGGTCCCAGGGACATCGGATGTTCCCAAAGGACTGGAGCATCCTGTGGGAGAATTGGAGGGATCCCAGGGGACTGAGGGATCCTGGGGGCTTTTGGACAATCCCGAGTGGGTTTGAGGGATCCTTGGGGGTTTGGAAGATCCCCATGGGATTTGGATAATCCTGGAGCAGTTGAATGATGCCAGGGGTGCTGGAAGATCCTGGTGGGATTTGGATGATCCTGGTGGGTTTGGATGATCCCAGTAGGATTTGGACGATTCCAGGGGTGTTGGAAGATCCCAATAGGATTTGGATGATCCTGATGGGTTTTGGATGATCGCAGTGGGATTTAGATGGTCCTGGTGGGATCTGGATGATCCCAGGGGTGGGATTGGATGATCTGGTGGGTTTGGATGATCCTGGTAGCATTGGAAGATCCCGGTGCTATCCAGATGATCCCGGTGGGATTCGGATGATCCTGCTGGGATTTGATGATCCTGGTGGGATTGAAGATCCCGGTGGGATTCAGAGGATCCCAATGATGTTTGGATGATCCCGGTGGGATTGGATGATCCTGGTGATATTCGGATGATCCCGGTGCAATTCGGATGTTCCGGGGGGTGGGATTGGATGATCTCAGTGGAATTTGGATGATCCCGGTGATATTCAGACGATCCCACTGGGATTGAAGATCCCGGTGATGTTCGGACGATCCCGGTGGGAT